TGTTAAAATTTAATGTGATGCAAAATTCATCAAGGCACCTCCTTGATGGATCTTTGATCAAGTCTTCAACAGCATCAAGGTACCTCCTTGATGGGTCCTTGAGCATGATATTTTATTATATTCATGGGGAAGCACTAAACCCATACAGCTAATGCATGGGGGAAGGCAATCAGATTTGATCCAAGGAAGAGAAGCTCCATTTCCAAAGATCACCGGGCATCAAGGCACCTCTAGAGAGAGATATTCCACTTTCAAATTTGATAGCACCTGTGTATTAGTTCTACCATATGCAAGTGTATTAGTTCTACAAGCACGTGTACCAATTCAAACACAAACGTATGTGCTAGTTATAACACACCCACGTGTACTAGCACAAGTTAGTTTTAACACGCATCCAAACTAGTTATTGCGTATACAAATATGTAATAGTTATTTTTCTATTTCTCACCACCAGATAATTTATACATACACATGTGTACTAGCTCTAATTACACACGGGCATATGCACGCAAAGACGCCGCAAACTTAGTGCTCACACACACACACACACACACACACAGGCTGGAAACACACATACACACAGGCTGGAAACACACACACACACACACACACACACACGAAGTAAGACACGAGAGGGAGGGGTGGGTTGACTGCATTTTCTTGGACTGCAAGGCCTTTGACAAAGTTCCTCACGAGAGATTAGTGCAGAAACTAGAGGATCAGGCGCATATAACAGGAAGGGCACTGCAATGGATCAGAGAATACCTGACTTTATCAACAGAGTTAACCTTTGTTCCAGCAGCGATTGCCTCATTTCCAAAATTCCTCGAGAATCTGAGAAGTCGCGAAAGCGCTTGGAATTTCACAATTTTTTCATAATGGTTATTATGTATAATTTTATTATATTATATATATATATTATATATATATATATATATAAATTATATATAAAATATATATAATAAATATATATATATATATATATATATATATAATATATAAATATATATATAAATATATATAATTTATATATAAATATATATATATATATAAATATATATATATATATATAAATATATATATATATAAAATATATATATATATATAAATATATATATATATATATATATATATATATATATTTTATATATATATATATATATATATATTATACATAATATATTTATTATACATATACATAAGGGAGGCAACAACGAGTCATGGTACGTGATGAGGTATCACAGTGGGCGCCTGTGACGAGCGGGGTCCCACAGGGATCAGCCCTAGGACCAGTGCTATTTTTGGTGTATGTGAATGGAAGGGATTGACTCAGAAGTGTCCCTGTTAGCAGATGATGTGAAGTTAATGAGAATTAAATCAGATGAGGATCAGGCAGAACTACAGAGACCTGGACAGGCTGGCCGCGTGGTCCAGCAACTGGCTCCTCGAATTTAACCGCGCCCAATGCAAAGTCATGAAGATCGGGGAAGGGCAAAGAAGACCGCAGACAGAGTATAGGCTAGGTAGCCAAAGACTGCAAACCTCGCTCAAAGAGAAAGAACTTGGGGTGAGTATAATACTAAGCACGTCTCCGAAGCACACATCAACCAGATAACTGCTGCAGCATATGGGCGCCTGCCAAACCTGAGAATAGCGTTCCGATACCTCAGTAAGGAATCGTTCAAGACACTGTACACCGTGTACGTCAGGCCCAGTTTATATACAGCACCAGTTTGGAACCCACACTTGGTCAAGCACGTCAAGAAATTAGAAAAAGTGCAAAGGTTTGCAACAAGGATAGTTCCAGAGCTAAGGGGAATGTCCTACGAAGAAAGGTTGGGGGAAATCGGCCTAACGACACTGTAGGAAAGGAGGGTTAGGGGGAGACATGACAACGACATACAAAATACTGCGTGGAATTGATTAGGTGGACAGACAGGTTGTTCCAGTGATGGGACACAGAAACAAGGGGTCACAATTGGAAGCTGAAGATGAGTAAAGGGATGTTAGGAAGTATTTCTTCAGTCATAGGGTTGTCAGGAAGTGAAATAGTCTAGCAAGTGATGTAGTGGATGCAGGAACCATACATAGCTTTAAGATGAGGTATGATAAAGCTCATGGAGCAGGGAGAGAGGACCTAGTAGCGATCAGTGAAGAGGCGGGGCCAGGAGCAGAGTCTTGACCCCTGCAACCACAAATAGGTGAGTACACGCTGGAAACACACACACATGCTGGAAACACACACACACACACACACACACACACACACACACACGCTGGAAACACACACAGGAGCTATGAATCGACCCATGAAACCAAAATTAGGCGAGTACACACACAGAAGCTCTGAATCGACCCCTGCAGCCACAAACAGGTAAGTACACATGCACGCGCGCGGACTCTGGGATACCAAAATTTTTGCCGATACTGGTACCGCCAACATTAGCCTAAACTCATCGATACCGATACTTTGGTACACCCCTACGCTGGACACATACAAACTCAGTGAGATACACTGGAAATTAATACACAGAAGACACAAAAACGAGATCTACAGATGTACAAGATACATACTATCTGGTGTTGCTCAGATGATCCCTCCCCCCCCCAGTCCGTTCAGTCTATGGCAGGGAAACATAGCTAACATTTGTTCCCTTGATGTAACATGGCTAACGCTTGTTCCCTCGATGTAACATGGCTAACATTTGTTCCCTCGATGTAACATGGCTAACATTTGTTCCCTCGATGTAACATGGCTAACATTTGTTCCCTCGATGTAACATGGCTAACATTTGTTCCCTCGATGTAACATGGCTAACATTTGTTCCCTCGATGTAACATGGCTAACATTTGTTCCCTCGATGTAACATGGCTAACATTTGTTCCCTCGATGTAACATGGCTAACATTTGTTCCCTCGATGTAACATGGCTAACATTTGTTCCCTCGCTGTAACTATCATATAGAACGAGCATGCACCATTGTCTTGGACTGCCTGCCCCACGTCTCACCTACGACTTCTGGACAGACTACAGGACCCCAATGGAAATAAGTAGCTTTGATCTTTTTCGGGATTATCCTAGGTAATTTACACTATATGATAAGTTTACTTACGTGTACCTCTGCCTAAATATACAAAACGACGTATCGCTCGCCTGAATCAGGGCAAGAGAATATCTGTCATTTCAGCAGAGCCTTCAACACAGGAGAGATGTGCGGCGACCTTACTGCTATACACATTGGCCAATATTTTGCTCCACTTAGTGGGCAGATAGCTTCCATACCACAAGACGGGCAGTAAACAGCAACCACACTCTGTACCTTTCTTAAGAAGAGCATTTCATCAGATCACTCATTCCTAGAATGATTCCAGTCTGAACATGTTCGCACAGCATAATGACATCGGTGAAATGAAGTCAATCAGAAATCATTGGCCCACAGATGACTCCAACTTCATCCTATTCCCCATTTCTATGTTTCATAATAAAAAAATCAAAGGAACTGAGGCAAGTATCAACACTTAGCTTGTAAATAAAGGTAAGAACATTTAGCCTATCCTATAAACCAGAGAGAGAGAGAGAGAGAGAGAGAGAGAGAGAGAGAGAGAGAGAGAGAGAGAGAGAGAGAGAGAGAGAGAGAGAAAGTGAAAAAGGAGACAATGAATGAGAGAACGGGAGTGAATGAGAATTATTGATACGAGAGAATAAGTGAGACATGCAGTGACAAATGCAGACACGAAAACACACACACACACACACACACACACACACACACACACACACACACACAGGGGTCAAGAGCTAGGAATCGACCCCTGCAACCTCAACTAGGTGAGTACACACACACACACATTTGTAAGCTCAAGACTCGAGTATGCAACACCAGCTTTGAGGTTTAGTTAAACAATCCTGATAGAGAGTATTATGTCCTGAGTTGAGTCAAACTCTCAGCTCTGGTTATTCAATGGAGACATAGTCACGATATAAGGGATAACATCTACACAGTAGGATCAAACATGGAAAAGACTGACGATGGTATTTACAAAATAAGACAGGTGTAGAGGAGACAATGTCTGGCATGGAGGTGAACTGAACGAGGGGATACTGGTGGAACCTCAATTCATAAATGACACAGGGATTTTAGGAGAGTCCTCAGTGAGAAATAAGAAAAACGGACATGAAATAAAAAAGGGACAAGAAGTCTGGGATAGACTCCAATGTTTACAAAAGTAGGTAGTTTATAGCAGACCTGGTGAGCTACAACACGACACCCCAAGAGCTGCAGCTCAACCTTAACATTACATAAGTGATGACAATTACATTTCTTTCCGGGGGAGCATGATGTTGACCAGTAAATTAGTGTAGAAGTGGAGGAAATATTACCTGCAAGTTCCTTCATCCTTGGTATCTACCACAGCATCGCGAGTGTGGTGGTTCTAATGTGAACTAAATACAACCATCAGGGATGCACTTGTCCAATATTTATAGTAGTGTAATGGCGTCCAAAGCAAGGAAAGGGAACGCTAAAAACTGGTCAGTAAGGAGAGAGAGAGAGAGAGTAAAGGAAGTAGGTAGGAGAGTGTGAGGTAGAGTGGTAGGTAGAGACGTCCGTCCACACACTGAGGTGAGCGTCAACTGGCTGTCCAGCACAGCAACTTGTCTTTTACTGCTGTCTGTGTGAGTCCCCTTCCACCTCTCCCCTTCCATAACTCACACACCTCTGCTCTCTGCCCCTGGCAAAACACCAACACTGACAGTACACAACAAAACCCAGGGAGAGTCAGAGTGAGAAACAATAAAAATGGAGGATAGATAAGGTGGTAGAGTATCACCACCACACTCACCCTCACACACAAACACACACACACACATACACACAACACACGTACAAACACACACACACGCACTCTGGCCACACTACTTTTGTCGATATTCTCCTTCATCCGCTGTTCCACTCTTATTTTTACCCCACTATTCACAGCCTGACGATCTAAGGACTTACCTTGGTTACTCATAGAGATAGCTCACACACTGGGAGTGGTAAATCACACACGTGTAGCTAGAGAGAGGCAGTGTGTGTCCGCGGCCGCGAGCACCCTCTATGTTCTCCATTTGTACCACGTGACCGTGACGTCATCACGTGGGTCGCCTTAGCTGCCAACAACTCCTAGAGTCGCCTCATTAACTCACCGGTAATACTATATATCCGCCGGAGAGTCCTTTTTTAATTGCTGTGTAAGAATGCTAACGCCTGTCACAAGGTGTGTATGGAACGAGACATACAACAGCAAGCGGGAAATATGTCGTTGCACAGAGCATAAAATTCGTCATCAAGCATCGCCTTGAAGTTCTTGTCATGCTATGTTTTGAACTGCTAAAGTTCCTCTAAGATGCTCTTCAGCATGTTGTCAAAGTAATCAGAGGTGTAGGGCAGACATCACAGCCTCCCTACATCTCCCTCAAGTGTCTCTCCGACTTTATCCAGACAAATAAAGAAGTAATATACCCGTGAAAGCGGAGGTGTAGGGCGCCGCACAGGGCAGTGTCAGCCTCTCCAGGGACTCCGCCGCTAAACTAACCTCCAAAAGAAACCAATAAATACTTACATCCCACACGCAAAAAAGCCTCTTGTCACAAAATAAAATTCACCCTGAACCTGGTCAAAACTCTTAGGCGGAGAAATTACTACGTATGGATTTTCGAGGTGGATTTTATACTAGTGCCATCTCTGATTTCATAGTGTTATTATTGCCTTTAATATGACTATTTAACACATATTATTGATAATAATGGTTCTGTCACTCTATGTCCTCCGGTAAAGTAAAGGAGCTCCTTGGGGGAGTAGAGAAACACAAGTTTAAAATAAAAACTATATATAATAAATATGTGATAGTCATATAAATAAAGCATTTATTAACCCAGCCAGAAAACTTGAGAAAATAGCCAGAGAAAAACCTCCAGCAGGATGGGTGTGTGGGTACGACCATAGGACGATGTAAAAGTGATCATAGATGAGGTGTGGCATATGGTTTAGTGATGGGATGTGAGGTGCAGATAGCAGCCGGCTGGTTTCGTGTACGCATGCACAAGCCGTTGTGATTTTAGTTGAGGGGGAGGAAGGGGGGTGGTCGCCATTACTACTCGTTTGATACCTATGGCAGCACGTTATCCCTTGAAATTTTTCCCAAATAGTGTTTTTTGCTCGTTTAAACTATGCATTTTAGGCACATAAGCCACACTTACAAGACTTTTTAAGGGATTTACGTTGTTTGGGTAATTATGAGCGTTGCTGTTGAGACTACAATCTAGTAGGTTCTGAATATGACAAGAAATTCTCTTATTTTTTTTTAAGTTTGAGTTCATCAACACTGCGTGTCTGCTAGTCTCTTCTGACTGGCAAACACTACTTTCCTCCTGGTTGCTGTCTGATAGACAGTATTTAACCTTATATCACCTCGGATCTAGTTTACGCCTGCCAGTTTCTCTTCCCTTTATGTTTCATTTCTCCCCCCCCCCTCCCTTCCTTACGTCTTTCCTCTCTTCTTCCTTACATCTCCTCTCTCTCTCCTTCCTTACATTTCCTCTCTCTCTCTCTCTCTCTCCTTTCTTACATCTCCTCTCTCTCTCTCTCTCCTTCCTTACACCTCCTCTCTCTCTCTCTCCTTCCTTACATCTCCTCTCTCTCTCTCCTTCCTTAAGATTAAGATAAGATTTCGTTCGGATTTTTAACCCCGGAGGGTTAGCCACCCAGGATAACCCAAGAAAGTCAGTGCGTCATCGAGGACTGTCTAACTTATTTCCATTGGGGTCCTTAATATTGTCCCCCAGGATGCGACCCACACCAGTCGACTAACACCCAGGTACCTATTTGCTGCTAGGTGAACAGGACAACAGGTGTAAGGAAACGTGTCGAATGTTTCCACCCGCCGGGAATCGAACCCGGGCCCTCCGTATGTGAAGCGGGAGCTTTAGCCACCAGGCCACCGGGCCACCGGTGGTCACCGTCCTTCTCACTGGTTACACAAATTAGCCGCACATAGTAGAGAGGAGCTTGCGACGACGTTTCGGTCCGACTTGGACCATTTACAAAGTATTGTGCCTGTTTTGTTCTCACTTGTTACTGACGTCTCTCCTCTTGGGAGCGCCTCCCCCCACACCTGTGTTTCGGCTACAATCCCAATCATTAGTGTTTTGCTCGTCCAACGCTGCTATAGTACTTTCCCAAACTCCTCGATTAATATATATATCATTATATCCACAGGAAGGCCAAAAACCCGTCAGGGTCATACAACGTCTGGAGAACTGGCGGCAATCAGGTCTGTTTCGAGAAGAGGGAATATAGTTCCAGTTCCTCAGATCAAAAGCCCTTTACCAATTTACAAACTTGCAAGGGCTTCTTTTATATGAGGTCGTTACTGCTTTTGCAAATTAATTGAGATGATAATTTTACCCATCACAAATTTCTCTACATTTCTATCCTGGGTGACAAAGACTTACTACAAATATGAAGGCTGTTCTTAGCTGAAGTTTTCTCCGCTGACTGCCTAGCATGGGCCAGTAGGCATTCTGCAGTGTTCTTATCTCCTCCTGATGAGGTGTTAGTGTATACGTAGCTAATTTAACTTGTGCCTCCTGATCCTCCACATCCTCCCACCGGTATAAAAAGAAAAAGACTTGAGACTGACGGAGGTTAACAACAGCCAGTCCACCTATCACACTTATCAGGCAGGAGGAGCTACATGTCTCTGGTGCATCCAACATAATCAGCAGAGTCCTGGATGTCAGTACCGCCCGGTTCCGGCTGGATCACAAGTATCCGGGAGGTTAAATAACCACCACCAGGTGAGGTAGACCAAACTAGATTGTCATACCTTGCGGCATTATATGCTAGAATGCCATAAAATCAGTGAATTCAGAGACAAATCACTCACAAATGTTCAAGAAATGTCGAGGTATTTAATCTACAGTGTCATATTACCGACCATTCTTGAAAAATACCCTGACTTTGCCCACTGTAAATAACGCATAACCACTTGAACTTTTGTACAAGCATACCTTGCTTAAAATATGTCAATATTTGCTGCATGACGCTAACGCGTCGGTCTGGAGTTTTATGACTCTCTGACCGCGGGTTCTTTTCCCACCCGTGGTATGGTATGTAACTAGCTCATTACCACTGTAACTAGTTTAGCTATCAAAACTTTGCGACCCAGCCTGGGCCCATTATGTACCTCTGTAATGTTTCTGTTTACCACCCACACCATGGGTATGGGGTGCATAATTAAGATATTAAACGTTAAAGCTAGTTGACAAGTCTATGCCCCGCAAGGCGGCCGGCCTACCGGGTCGTACACGAGAGTCCGACCATCCTATCTACGCTGGCCGGAGAGACTCCGGTATCCAGTGTACAAATTTCCAAAGATAACAGCTTACTGATGGTTCTAATCAATTTCCGTAATAAGGAAAACTTGGAGGGATCGAGTAACTCAGTTGATGATTGACTCTACAACCTCCCCAACGACTGCTACCACATATCTAGAGCTCGTCATAGTACCTGTTCTGGCTACTTTTTCTCGGATGTCAGCTAAGCATGGTCTTTGAACCAGAGCTCAGACTTCTTCAATTTCTTGCGAGTCACCCATCTGTTAATATAAGCTGCTGGACTCTGACAAGTGGTCACATAAAACTTCTTGAAGTTTAACTGCAGTTCTGCGATTTTTTTCACCCTATTTCTTACATATAGTAATTTAAATTTATTGTTTTTAACCCACTGCAGATTTTGACCAAATTTATATGGTTACTACACTCAAGTTACTCAGCAGTTCCTTCACATATTTACCTAACCTCTCCCCCAACATTAATGAAGTTAACTTCAGCTTTCCTATAAAGCACCTCTTTAGAGGTACAACTCATGTTCAGCTGGTAACAAAGTTTGCCTTATCGAACTCCAGATTAGTTGATAACGAGGCATCACAGAGTATGTGGAAGTTATGATCTTTTCCCGAGCTTCTACTGATCTGGGAAACTCCGACTCATTCAGTTTCTCTAAGTCCTTGCTGGTGTTATTCCATTCCCAAGAAATGGATTTCGGCAGCTCATCATCCCAACCTAGTTGTATGTCCCAAACCCGTTGCACTAATATCCTCCCTCGGATCATCACAAGCAACTATATTCCCGGTGGATCAAAGGTGGCTTGGATTAAACTTAGTAGGGAATTTTAAACTTTCTATCAAAAGTAGTCTCACTATTTTAAGCTTGTCCTGGTCGACTGCCCACTGTACAGTGTACACCAAGTATTGATACCGTTGTAGGCACCTGGTTATTTCCGTCATCTTCTATCATATTTAGCAATTTTGTATGATTCGTTGACCATCCTCTCAATGGCATGTTGGTTAACTGCATCTCCTTAATGACTTCGTTGTAAACATTAATCAGTAACTTCTCTGAGGTGGTACCTTTCACGTAATCTACATAGACTTGTTTTTTTTTTTAAATCTTTAAGAGGACTTGTATACACAACTGACAAGAGTGCTTGGAGCAATATGACTTGCAATCGGGGAATTTCATGTTCAGTTCCTGGGGTCTAAATGCTTTTCACCCACAAAAAGCTGGTATGATCCTGATCTTGCAAACGAAGACTCAAGAAAGCTTTACTAATGTACAAGGCAAATTGCTCCGTCCTGAAATTCAGTATAAAGTCAGCCAGCTCTTGCATCAGAGATGGTCCTGTAAATAAGCACTTAAGGATGATTCTGGATGAACTACAGCTAGATTATTCTAGTTGGTGTGGTTTTAGATTTCTTGGTAATACCACGCGAGGTACATAATAAATATTCACAACAAGTCTGGTCTTAGGGACTTCCTAGATAAAAAAAAAAAGGCTGACTGTTCTTTGACAATATCTGTACGCCCCACTTAATAATTTTCCTGTCAAATTACTCCCTAGTGGCCCGTGGCCTGGTGGTAAAATCTCTCGCTTCACATGGTGAGGGTCCGGGTTCGATTCCCGGCATGGGTAGAAAAACTAGGCGTGTTTCTTTACACATGTCCATGTTCACCCATCAGTAAAATAAGTACCTAGGTGTTAGTGGGCTGGTATGGGTCACATCATACAACAAAATTGACCTAATTTTCCCGAAAT